AAGTAATTTCTTATTTTATCCTCATTGACTTCTTCTTTTTTATATAACTTTTCAAAATATTTGTGAATGATGTCTTTTTTCTTTTCTATCTCTTGTTGTAAATTGTCCTTCTCATCTATTAATTGGTATATCAATCTCTTTTCTTTCCTTTTTTAAAGTTTATAAGATAGCCATCTTCCTGGTTTATTTGCATATTCAAAATAAATTTGTTTAGTCATTTTCAAATTTATTTCCATTTTTTCTTGTTCCATTAAGTTCAATTTATGTTTGGCTGTTATTATCTGATTTTGTACTCTTTGGTTTTTAGGGGTTTTTTGTAATTGGATTTCTAATTCCTTAATTTGTTGTTGTAATTTATTTTGTTGAGCATATTTTCTTTTATTTCTCATGGCATTATAAGAGATTGTTATTCCTCTTATAACTGCCTTCAATGTATCCCAGATATTTTGTTTCGAGGTTGCATCATTATCATTTTCCTTTAGGAAATAATTTAATTCCTCTTTAAGCTTATTAATATACTCTTCTTCTCTTATTAATTGAGTGTTTAATGTCCACCTTTTCTTTGGTTTTTTCCTGCCTTTCCAAATTATTTGAATTGGGTTGTGATCGGCCCATTCATTTGGTAAAATTTCGATTCCTTTTATTTCATTTGCAATTTCCCCATTCATCCACGCCATATCTATTCTTGTCCATATTTTATGTGGGTTCGAGTAAAATGTAAATAGTTTTTCTTCTGGGTTTAATCTTCTCCATAAATCCACCAAATTTAGTTCTTCCATCATTTCCTTACATGTCTTGGGAAACTCTCTTTTTCCTTTTTTGTTCTTGCTCGCATTACTATGGTCCTTTTGGTAATCAGCAATAGAGTTAAAATCGCCTATGATACAGATGTTCCTTTTTTCAAATCCTATTATTTTTTGGTGTAAATATTTAAAAAAAAATTCTGTTCTTCATTTGGAGCATAAATTGCTACCAATAGAAATGAAATAGTATTAATCAAGATTTGTAAAACCAGAGTTCTTCCTTCCGGGTCTGACCAAATTAGATCTGCTTTTAAGTCATCTTTCACATATATTGCAATTCCTTTCTTTTTTTGTTTATCTGCTGGTGCTGTAAATAACTTCCCTAGTTTAGGGCAAATTAAATATCTTTCATCAATTTTCCTTATGTGGGTTTCTTGTAAACATATTATGTCGGTGTTTTGTTTAATTAATTTGGCTATTATCCTTTTCCTTTTAGTTGTTGAATTTAAACCATTTATATTGATGGATAGAAGTTTCTTTTCTTCCTCCATTTAGTTAAATCTGTTTCGCTTTTTGTCTCGTGATAATTCGGCTCTCTCCTTGTGGGATTGGTTTTTTTCTCTCTTGATGTGGGTAGTATTTCCCTTGGCTTTGGGGGGGTCCTTCTTTTTTATTTCTATGGCGACTTTGGTCTTCCTGCGAATTTCTTTTTGATTCCTCCTTACTATTTTGATCTTCCGTGCCTACTAACTGTTCATAAAAGTCTTGTGCCCATTCCATAGAGTCTATTTTGATTTTTCTTTCTTTCCATGTTACTAACATCCCCTGCTTCTGAAGATTTCTAAATATGAAATTGTAATTGTCTTCCTATAATATAGATGACAATCCAAAGCAGACCCAGGTATACAGTAATCTCTAACCTACCTATGTGAAAGCTCTTTATACGTGATGGGAAACTCAATTTTTGTGAGATTTTTGTTCTGCATGGACAAACCTTGCTTGTATGTGTACTGGATCTATACTCATAAGCTATTGTTTATAATAATTCTCTTCTGTCAGAGGACTTTCAAATAGCTTTCCTGATATTTTATTGTAGTAATCTTCCAACTAATAAAAATAGTAATTTAGTATAGGCTTGTTACAATGGTTTGGGGAAAAAAACCGAATTGGTCTGTAAACCTCAATTGTGGCATATTATAAGAATGCTATCAATAGTGAAGATGCTTTTAAAAGATAGTTCAGTAAAAATCTAATTAAAATCACACATTTTAAATTTGTGCTTAATGGCTAAATTAACTATATTTATTGTCCAATTAATAATTTAATACTAATTACAGCTTCTTGGATCAGAACACATTTCTTATTCTCTGCAGGTTCTTTCTCCTTTTTACAAACTTTCCTTTGTATCAGGAATCACATTGCTATATTTTAATATATAAGCACACAGAACATGAAATTTTAATATTTCCCTTACTTCATTTCATATGCAAGGTTTCATTTCTACTGGTTCTTTTGTTGTTTAAGTTCCTTATTAAGGGTGTCGTTTGTTTCCTCAAAATCTAACTGGTTTTAAATGAATCCCTTCTATTAGATTACAGCAGCTGTTTAAAAATATCTGTATGATTCAATTAGCTTATTTTTAAAGAACACTTTCATATCAACTTATGACTGAAATGTGAAAGAAAAAAATCAGTGTTTGCCAAATTAAAACAAATCCTTATCAACTATATATAAAAAAATTAATTGTTTAGGGAAGCAGTAATGAAATATTGTATGTGCAAACACAATGAAATTCTATCCAAATGAATGGATAGCAATAATTGATTGCTAACTGCCAATTAAAATGTTTGTTGTTTGATCTATTTAGAAGAAAAACAAAAAAAATGCAGCCAACATTATATAAAGTTTGGGTTTTTTCTCCTTTATGAATGACAAGTTTTACAATCTTATATTAAGAACTTGATTTTTTGTATGTTTGGTGAAGTCTTGGAGGTGCAAATTACAAGCCCTGGCCTATATTGACTATTAACCACAAGGGGGGCAGAGTAATGTACAATAGATAGAGGATTTATTTATTTGTTAAATTTATATGCCCCCTATCTCATTGTTGAAGCAACTCTGCACCACTTACAAAAATGTTAAAAGAATAAATATAAACCAATTAAAATTTCTGTGAATTAAATAGAGATTGAGAACCAAGAGGACTGATGGTACAGAAGTGGGGTCTCTTCCAAGTTTTAAGGCTCTTCTAGAAGGTCAGAAGGGTGAGGACAGATGTCACTTATGGCAGCAGGATGTTCAAAAGGGTGGGGACCACAGCAGAAAAGACTCTTCTCCTAGACCCCCTCCCCAGTCAAAATTCCTTGAGAGACACGGTCTGCAGCAAGCTCCTTTTGCTAGAAAGGATGGGATGGGCAAATTCCATCGGGCGAAGATGGCTCTTCAGATATGTTAAGGATTAATGAGTCAAGGATTTATTCTGTGCCCCTCTTTTGTCTACCATTTTGCAGGCAGTTTATACAAAAGATTGTTAATCTGAAATCATTTATTTTGTTATGCACAGAGCGTATGTTCTTAGCTTCTCCTGGGTAGGCTGTAGCTAGCTAAGTGCTTTGCCTATCTCTCTAATGTATTTCTTGTAAATAAATGCCCTTTCTGTAATAGTTGAACCACCTGCTCCACTAATCCTTGCTAAAGTCATATTCCTATTCCTAGAAATATTCGCATGCACGTGTAGAACAGTTCAACCTCCAAGAAAAGGGCAATTTATCTTTCTGAGAATCATATGAAGCTGAAATACCTACAAATTTGCAGCCAGCCTCACAGGCTAAGCTATAAAGATTTAATTCTGATCTGACTCACTACAGGAGTTGCTATAAATGAGTTTAAACAACTGACGCTCTCAAAATGAACAGTAGCTGAGTTTTTACTGGGTTTGCAAAATCAGACAGGGCTACTCAGAAATAAGAGGAAGTATAAAGCACACAAAGGAGCATCGTACAGTCTGTGGAAGTAGATTAAAAGACTAAGGCAGAGGATATTTTTTAGAGAATAAAGCGTTGCCTCCTTCATTATAAATCTCTTCAGAGGCTATTTCAGTGTGAAGGACTGCTGGTGGTGTTGGGAAGAAGACGGTTAAAAACTTGCTTTAGGATGGGGAGTAGCTAAAAGTTGCTCTCTTCTTCTCAACAGTCTTTGCCATCCATTTTGGGAGGATATAACCCCCTTCCTCCTGACAGAGGAAAAACAATGAAAATCAAGCAGTTGGAAAGTAAAGACAAACAGGAAACTGGTAGGGCTTCACAAAGTTTCAGAACAGTATTATTTTTCAAAGATGCTTGAAATGGATATATTTCTTAGAAAGTTATTGCAACTAAATTTAAATGTTCTTTGCCTGGCACAACATGAAAAAAGTGGTATCTTGATTTAGACCAAGCTGACAGAAGACCAGAATCTATATAGATAGTCTTTGTTCAGTGACTGCCTTGGATAACATCTATCCACAGTCACAATAGTGATGAAGAAGGACCTTTGTGATCAATCCTTCTTTTTATGACCTTTAAAGATCTATAAGACAAAATGAAGCTGAAGCAAGATCATAAGCACAATCACAGTTTTACTTGCAACTACTTTGCTTAACGATCGAATTGCTAATTCTCATTGTGGTTGCTAAGCAAGGAGTAACTAGTAATCACAGCACCAATCCACATTTGATGCCTTTACTTACCTTACCCCCTAACCCTGTCGGGATTTGACTGGTTGAAGAAAACTGAATCCAAAACACTGCATTACCCAATTCCCCTTAGACAAAGCATCTAAACAGTTTTGCCATGCATATGGCCTCTGAAACAGCAAGATGGGGTAGCTTCTCATTGATGGGAATTCTTGCTTGATCACTCTTCTCACTTCTAGGTTTTCTCTCCCCCTCTTTCCCCACTGAAAGAAGGAGCAGGGCTTTTTTTCTCTTTCTCCATAATGTTGCACAGCTTTGAGTCTTTAGCTGGCAAGAATCCAGAAGAGGGTTTTGCATAAGTATATATGTACAGAAGCCTTTTCTGGCATAGTCAGTAATCAGTGAGGCCTCAAAAATGGCAAAATAACTCCCCCTAGTTCAGTCAGGTGAATCATGTCACTTTCATGGCCCAAATGTGCCATAGGGACA